AAAAAAAAAAAAAAAAAAAAAAAAAAAAAAAAAAAAAAAAGAGAAAGAGTCTCAGCCAGGCAGTGTAGCACATGCCTTTCATCCTAGCACTTGGGAGACAGACAGGTGGATCTCAGAGTTCGAGGCCAGCCTTGTCTACAGAGCAGGTTCCAGGACAGCCAGGGCTCCACAGAGAAATTCTATCTTGAAACAAACAAACAAACAAACAAAACAACAACAACAACAAAAACAAAAAACAAAAAGAGAAAGGGTCTCACTATATAGCCCTGGAGAGCCTGAAACTCACTGTATAGCCCAGGCTGGCCTTGAACTCACACAGATCCTATTGCCTCCGCCAAGTGAGAGACTCAAAGACCAACACCGCCCCACCAGGCTCACTTATCCTTTACTGTCTGCGTCCTCATTAGAAAGCATACTCCAGCCGGGCGGTGGTGGCGCACGCCTTTAATCCCAGCACTTGGGAGGCAGAGGCAGGCGGATTTCTGAGTTCGAGGCCAGCCTGGTCTACAGAGTGAGTTCCAGGACAGCCAGGGCTATACAGAGAAACCCTGTCTCGAAAATCCAAAAAAAAAAAAAAAAAAAAAAGAAAGCATACTCCAGGGCCAGCCTGTGGCTCATTAGCGCAGCACCTGCCTATCATGTGTAAGGCAAGGACTTGATCCCAGCACTGCCAGAAAAAAATCGTACACAGAGCAGAGCCTGACACGTTATGTGTCTGGCTCATGCTGTTCAATAAATATTTGCTGAAGGAGTAAATGAAAGGCTTGCTCACCTTCTGGATTCTTGTGGAGATGCTTTCGGGGGGCCTTGGACTCCAGACTTTGCCCTTCAGTCTTGGAAGGTGTAGCTGGCTCTGAACATAGCTCCTGGGAACACTCTGGTGAAGGGTGGGTGACACTTCAGCTGGACCCCTTGCTCTTTTCAGTTGCCATCCCATATTCCCCCTAGACTCACATTTCTTTCCCTCCTCCCTTTGAGAGATGCTTACCACAGTCCTCATAGATGGTGTCTGGGGAACAGGGAAGGGGACCTGGTGTGGGGAAGGCTCCCAGCCATCGCTGCATGTCTGACCTAGTGATGAACATAGGAGGGGGAGTTCATGGTTGGCCCAAGAGATATTCCCGGGGGACAAAGTAAGGGCAACAGAGGAGAGAGAACAGAAATAGAATATAGAGTCTGAGGGTCCTAAGAGCAGCTTGCTTGTCTGCATGTTTTGACAAGGCTGACCAAGCTGGCCTTAAATTCATGGTCCTCCTACCTACCCAGTCTTCTCAGTGCTCAGATAGTAAAAGTTCACCACCCTACTGATTTATTTTCTTTGGGTGCTGAGGACTGAATCCCGAGTCTCAGGCATGCGAGGCAAACTCTACAACTAAGCCACACCCCAGCCCCCAAGAGTGTTTTCTACAGACAGGACTCACAGTGAGGCCGCTTGGAGTAGCCTGTGGGTCGGGCGGCCCTGGTGGTTGCTGAGAAGGGAGAGGCGGAATGTAGGGGGTCCAGATGGGTCAGGAACCTGCTGGGCCTGCACCAGGGAGCGATGGGCATAGTCCAGAACCTGCAGCCGCTGCCCACTGCCCAGGGAAGAGGGCGTTCAGAGGAGAGCAGGGGTCCTGCTGGATGCCTCTTCCCTACTCCAGCTCAGGCTCCCTCCCCTCCCACCCAGGACCCACCTCTTGGGCTGAGTGATAAGCAGCAGGTCACTGAAGAGCAGCAGGCAGAGGGGAGTGAAGCGTGGGCGGGAGGTGAAGAGCACACCCCCCCTCCGACACCCCAGTTCAGTCAGCTCCCCCTGCAATTCCAGGCGCCGTGACCAGGAGACCAGCGGTAGAGCCTGGGAGAAAAAAAGAGAAGGGTCTAGCCTCGGTGTAGCATGGTGAGGAAAGGCTAAATGGAGAGTCTGGGCTGGACGAACCTTGACTTTGTGGAAGCGCAACCTTTGGGTGAGTCGGATCAGCTCTTCGGTCTGCTTCATGCGCCCCACCTCAGCGCTGCAGCGCTCAATGATCTGGGGAGGAGGATGCAGTCACCCATCCCAGCGGCCACCTATTCCCTTCCACCTCCCCTCTGCTTCTTGGCACCTCTTCCCTCCTCAGCTTCCCTTCTGCCCACCTTGCTCACAGCGCCCAGGGCCTTCTGGGCATTCTCCTGACGACTGGACCCCTCCTCTGTCTGGCTTAGGATATTCTGGAAACAGAGAGGAAGGGAACTGAGATCCCCCACGCCCCTGAGATTCTGAGGTGCTGTGGACCCAGCCCAGCTTTGCCAAATGTTCCGTTTAGGTTTGAGACCTACCACTTACCAGCTGCCAGAGCTTGAGCAAATCAGGTTAGTGCTCAGAGCTTCGGTTTCTGCATTTATAAGATGGAGCTGATATCTACTTAGCACGTTATGAGGAATCGAGGAAGTGATGTATAAAGAGGACTTAGCACAGTTCTTGGCACATCATAAATGGGGGAGGGCGTGTCTTTTTTTAAAAAAATAATTACTAGCCCACCAATAGAACGGGACAGTTAGAAATACCTGAATTTCTATTTCTTTTCTGAGACAGCTTTTTTTTTTTTTGCTAATCAGCTCTGGCTGCCTTTGAGGTCGGAATCCTTCAGCCCAGCCTCTGGAATGCTGGGATTACAGGCATGTACCATCATATCTGGCTCCATCCATTATTTTTGCATGACCTAGGCCAAGTTATTCAAACTGCACCTCGGTTTCCTCCTTATAAAATCTCGTAAATAATGGTTCCTGCCCTTGCACACTTGTCACTGGGGTGATACAGGTGTGGGACATTTCGAACGGGGTCTCTAACAGCACACTCAGCAATCACTGAGTTAGTACGGTATTATAGTTATGATGCTATCTACATGAACAGCAGATGAGGCTGAATAAAACTCAAGGCAACTGGGTTAGCAGCTCAGTGGCAGAGTATTTGTTTAGAATGAGTGAGGCATCAGTTTGATCCTCCCTCGAACAAAAAAAAGAATTAAATTTAAAAAATAAAAATAAGCCAGGCAGTGGTGGCATACTAGGTTTTGATTCCCTGCACTTGGGAGGCAGAGGCAGGTGGATGATCTCTGTGAGTTAGAGGCCAGGACACACAGAGAAACCTTGTCTGGAAAAACTAATTAACGGCCAGGCGGTGGTGGTGGCAGCGCTCGCCTTTAATCCCAGCACTTGGGAGGCAGAGGCAGGTGGATTTCTGAGTTTGAGGCCAGCCTGGTCTCTACAGAGTGAGTTTCAGGATAGCCAGGGCTACACAGAGAAACCCTGCCTCGGAAAAAACAAAACAAAAAAACAAAAAAAAGGAAAACTAACTAACGAAAAATTTAAAAAGATACTATATACAATAGTTAAGAGACTGTGTAGTGAGTTCTAAACAACCAAAACAAACACCAAAGCCAACTATCTCAAAACAAAGTAGCTTATCTTTGTTTCCATCATCCTGTTGGAGACTCTTCACATTGAGATTCCAATATATGGAGGTACACACCTTTAATTCCAGCCCTCTAGAGGTACAGGCAACCAGATCTCTGGTGCCAGGCCAGCCTGGAATGCAGAGCAAGCTAGCCAAAGCTACATAATGAGACCTTGAAAAAAAAAGAAAGAAAGAAAGAAAGAAGGAAGGAAGAAAGAAAGAAGGAAGGAAGGAAGGAAAGAAAGAAAGCTGGACACATACTTTTAATCCCAGCACTCAAGATCTCAGAAGCAGGTGGGTCTCTGTGTAGCCAGGGCTACACAGAGAAACCCTGTCTTGAAAAATCAAGGAAACAAAACAGTGTTTCTCAAAACCCCCATTTTTTCCCCCTCAGTATTATCCCACTTAGGAACTTTTTCACTTATTATTTTAGTCAGTTACACTAGAGACTGTATCCAAGGCCTTCCTTTGTACAACCTAGACAAGCTGTCTGCATCTCTCAGCCTACCCTACTACCACAATAAAAATTGAATTTTACAGATACACAATAAATCTGCCTATTTACCACAGCCCTTTGAAGTTCACAATCACTGGAATAGCTAAGGTTCGGGTTTTTTTTTTTTTTTCCTCAGTCCTCCCCAAACCACTGTTTGTTCCTTTGGAAATCTCAGCTAGTTAGAGGCTGAGCAGAAAGTTTAGGAGGTTCTTTCTCCAAACCTGTCTGCTCCTGAGGCATTGAGGGAGCTGAGGGCCCATCTGGAAGATGTTGTCCTGAGAGTCATGGTGGGGTAGGAAATGGTGATAACTAGAGCAAACACTGTGGAGTTTCCACTGCAGGGTTGGTGGGATGGGTCAGGCACCAGGCTGAGACAGTACCTGCAACAGCATCCGGAGCCGGGTGATGCGCTGGAAAGGCAGCAGCAGGAAAGATGGCAGCGGAAGCCGCTCACATTTGGGGAGACTCTGCAGCCTCCGCAGCTCTGCAGAGAAGCGCACATTTGTATCCCTGCAAAGAAAAGCCCAGATCCTTAGGGACTGCCTGAAGTGGGGTCCTAAACACCCCCAGCCAGCTCTGGCCTCAGCCTCAACAAGATTTCACAGGTTCCTCCAACTCTGGGATACAGAAACCCCTTATCCATAGTTTTGCTCTTGTAATTTCAATTATCCAGCACCTTTAAATGAAACATTCCAGAAACAGAAACAAACAATTCATACATTTTTCATAGTTTTGCTTTCATAATTTCAATTACTCAACACCTTTAAATGGAATGTTCCAGAGACAAACAAGTCATATATTTCACATACTTTTTCTAATTAACCACTAAGATGTCTTATCTGGGACACCAATAATCAATGCCTTTGCCCAGTGTATTCATGTGTATACACCACCCACCTGTTAATCACTTAGTAGTGCTAAGTCCTATTCATCAATTAACTCTGCTGTTCTCATGGAGCTGTGTCCAGGTAATTCTTTTTTTTTTTTTTGAAGATTTATTTATTTATTTCATGTATGTGGATATACTGTTGCTGTCTTCAGACACACCAGAAGACAGCATTGGATGCCCATTACAGATGGTTTGTGAGCCATAATGTGGTTGCTGGGAATTGAACTCAGGACCCCTGGAAGAACAGTCAGTGCTCTTAACTGCTGAGCCATCTCTCCAGCCCCAGGTAATTCTTATTTTACTTACTAATGTCCACAAAGTACGAGAGTAGTGATACTGACAATTTTATTACATTATATTGTTCTTTTTGTTTGTTTGTTTGTTTTGTTTTTGTTTTTTCAAAACAAGGTTTCTCTGTATAGTCCTGGCTGTCCTGGAACTCACTCTGTAGACCAGGCTGGCCTTGAACTCAAAAATCCACCTGCCTCTGGCTCGCTCCCAAGTGCTGGGATTAAAGGCGTGCGCCACCACCGCCTGGCACATTATATTGTTCTAATTTTTCCATTTCATCATTATTTATTATTAATCTATTAATGGACCTAATTAATAAACTGTTTTTATAGGTATGTAGATATAAGGTTCAGTACTATCCACTGGTGGTTTTGGAAGGCATTCCCAGGGAGAAAGGAGGAAGCCATGTTACTCACATAAGGCGGCTATAGGTCTCCTCCTGATACTGCTGGTTCCGTACATAATCCACATACACGGAGAAAGGACCAACTGCATGGGCGTGCACCACATCACACAGGTCAGTGATGTGTGGGGAAGAACGAACTCGAGACAGCAGTGTTCCTAGAAACCTGAAAGTATAGATAGACGAAGCAATTAATAGAGGGATAGAAATCTGGTTTTCCAAGTTTTTCAGGAGACAGCTGCACATTAACTGGGTCAGTGAAAGGAGAGATCCAGAAGAGGGAGGGAGCCAAAGGGGATGCTTAGCAGCTCAAGGCCCAGATCCTAGGAAGACCACTGACCGCTCGCTGACACTCTGGACTCGCTGCACATTGGAGAAAAGCGTGTGATGATCCCGAGGAGTGAGTGTGTCCCGGAGAGGCTGGCTCAGGACGAAGGTGTCCGTCAGCAGCCTCAGCGAGCGCAGGTAGGAGGCCTCTGATGTCACCACCTCAAACAGGCTCTAGACAGCAGAGCAGGGCCACAGTAGAGAGGGCAGCCACCTTGCAACCACCCCAGAACTCAGGTCATGTACCTTCTCAATGCCATATCCCACCCTTCTCAGTCGCACCCAGGGGTACCCACCTCCTGCATGCGCCTTTCCTGGGGGCTTAGACTCTCTAAGAGACCACTGCCTCGCACAGCCGGGAGCTCCTGCCACAGAGTGTTTCGAGGTCCAGGAAGCCTGGAGAAGGTGGGAGCTTCTCCAGGATTAGCTGGAGAGGGACCCCCATCCTCACCCACACCCCACAGCTCCTCTGACAGCACAGCTGCTCGGTAAGTCTGGTATAAAGGCTCTGGAAGGTAGACAGAGAACATCAGGGAAGCCTGGGGCCCCAGAACCCTTCCCTCCTGCCTGTCACAGTAAAGACCTACCGTCCTGCAGGGGCAGCTCCCACTGCAGCTCCTTCAGCCCCTCCAGTCCTTCCTCCTCCCTGTGGAGAAAGAAAGGAATACATGTGAGGTCCACGTGTGGGAGCAATTCATGTGATACCACATGAGAGAGATGCACATCGCATGGAGGGATCCTGACAGTTCTCCAGATCAAATTCCAGATGTTTGTGCCTGTTGGAGGCAGGGCCCTTGACAAATCAGGTCCTAAACATTCCTGCTATCAACTACTGTGCAGTAGACTTCCAAGTCCCTCCCTCCAGCCCTCTCACATAGCAGCATTGGCTGGAAGGTCTTTGTGGCTTGGTACAACTCCATATGGTCAAACTCTGACTCTCTGTCTCCCCTCTCCTAGTTGCTAGTCATTCACTCAAGCTACAAGCTGGTGTAGAAAATATTTTCTAAACAAACGAACATACTTAGATTATTACTTCTGATTTAAAAAAAAAACAAACAACCAATCTAGGATGACTAGCAAGTCCAGCAAACAATGGATGCCGTGGTTGCCAAATGGTTTTGCCAACAATAATTTTAATAGAGGACTTGAGAAATGGCTCAGTGGTTAAGAGAATGTACTATTCTTGCAGAGGACTTGAGTTTGATTCCCAGCACTCATATCAGGTGGCTCACAACTGCTCGTAATTCTAATCGAGCATGTTGCTGAATGCCTTTAATTCCAGCACTAGGGAGGCAGAGGAAGGAGGATCTATGTGAGTTTGAGGTCAGCCTGGTTTTAAAAGCAAGTTCTGATGCACAAGAGATTATCCCTACAGAGCAGATTTGGGGCCAGACTGGGATGTGTGAGTTCTGTTTTATTTTTTATTTTTTATTTTTCTTTAATTATTTTATTTTTTGGTTTTTCGAGACAGGGTTTCTCTGTATAGCCCTGGCTGTCCTGGAACTCACTCTGTAGACCAGGCTGGCCTCGAACTCAG